TGCTGTTGTTGTTGTTGTCACTGCTGCTGCTGTTGTTGCTGCTGTTGTTGTTATAGTGTCACAATGACCCTAAAATGATTTCATTTCTTATGTGTTTTTGTTTGTTTCCTTATCAGGATTAAAGAACAGCTCGGCACTTCAGGTTCAAGACAGCGGCCTACATACAGAACTAACATCAAGGTAGAAGCGTTATTACATATTTATTTAGTAAATCATACTTTTTTGTATGTACTTTTGTTGTATTTATCGCATTTTTTTCATTCAGAGTTCTGTGGACAAGCCTTCTTCAAGTTCGTAACCACACTTTTTGCCAAGGCTACTTAAATGGAAAGATCATAGATGTGTTAGTAGAAATACTAAACCACTACACCCAGCAGTGGACGCTCGCTAAAGAAGAGGAGCAGCGAAGAGAACAAGAGGAAGGCAACCTCTTCAAGTATAAAACAACATCCCACATGGAAGAACCAGATGAAGAGAAACAAATACAGATATCGTTATGTCAATCATTCCCTACCTTCGACAGCGAGTTTAGTGACTTAATGACGTCGAATAGTCTAGAGGAAGTGACGAAACAACTTGATGACGTAAGCACAAGTGACGTTAACACTTCTGAAGTCGATAAGTTCATGCAATCTGTCGATACGTCACGAATATGTAAAATACATGAACTGTTATTCTGTGACGTCACTTCTTGTCACTCATGGATGCTGATTGGTCCAAAAAGTGATGAGGTATTACGTTGTCATGGTGATTCGGAGTATCTGGAATTGATGCAAAGTTGTTACCAGACGGCAGCGGTCGTGAGTGAGATTAACGAGAAAAGTAGATGCTATCAGAGTATCAAAGATTGTGTGTGGGAATCGCATCTCGTGCAGGGCAAAGCTATGCTAGAACGACTGACCACAGCTGATGAACCTTCGCTGGAACCATCTGCGAACATCCAGTAAGAGAATATTATTCCCTTTTCATTTTTCATTTCTCATTTTTTATTTCCAATTTTCATTTCCATTCTTACTTTCTATTTTCTATTTTCATTTTTCATTCTTATCTTGATTTTCTTTAAGTGGCAAACACTACGACATCTATCACGATATCAACATACCGGAAGTTGTTCAAGTACTTCCTGTCATGACGTCATTGACTACGCGATTGAAGGAATTACTTGCTGAGTGGCCTGGCAACCCTTTACTTACCCAGGTAACCATGACTACGAACCTTTATTTCTTTGATACATGGGGTAATCTTTCTAATTGAAAAATGAAGGGGGAGGATTAGGGTTGGGTGTGGTGGAGTGGGGTGTAGTGTTGGGGGTTTACGGATACAGGAAAGTAAAAGAACATACATTAATTGGCAACTGTTATTGTTACAGCTTCAGTCATTCGTTGATAAGATTCTGTCACTACCCGTCACTAGTCCAGTCATGAAGGTTTTGACCGGGGTGGAGCTGCTTCTGAAGAATGCCCAGGTATGAACTATAACATTAGAACACACGTAGTAGACAATTGTACTGTACTGCACCATAATTTTCTTTTATGTGCTGTGCTGTTTATGTAGGCTGTGGTGGGGTGCGGTGGGGTGTGGTGTGGTGTAATGTGGTGTAATGTGGTGT